CACTTTGCTATTATAAATCTTAAAAATTAAGATTTGTATTTAATATTGCTTAAAATAGCCTGCCAGTGTTCGGAATATTTAAAAATCTTACTTCACAGAGTTAGTCTTCCCTTGTTGTTTCTAGGCTTTGTATGCAAAAATTGGCCATCACATATATCTAATACAGAGCCCTGACTATTTCCTGGCTCAGTGCTGGATATATGATCTCGAATCAAATTTGTGGTTTTGGGAGAAATGAAAGAGTATATATAATAAGAATATAGCATGATAGGTGTATGGAAGTATGGTGAAAAATATCTCTATAAAATAACACAGTTCTAATCCCTTTTCAGAAAGCATTTTAGTTTTCTTTGAACTTTTTCATTTTTTATTGCTTCAGTTTTTCTCAGTAGATTCTTATTTTTCCTAAAGTCACAGTTGCAATACTTAGACTTTTTGTGTTTGCTTAAAAGAAGCAAATACCTTATATACAAAGGAAAGAAAATAACTCCAGAATAAAATCACGTAAAAAGGCAGAAGCTACTGAAAAGATTACTAAAGTTTATTGAAGATAAACTTGTAAAAAGTGAAACAAAGTAATAGATATTATTTTAAAAAATTAACTGCCAAAGCTTTCAATGTAAATCTTTTCTGATATCCTGTAATGAAGTTTGATTCAGCTCTTAATTCTAACAGGATTGCTATGATTTGATATAATTGGTCTATTCAGCATAGGAAAATGCATAATAATAATTTCAGTGAGAAAGGTTAAATTCAAGAGATGGCAAAGTTCTTCACGTCCAGTATCTAGCACTGGCTAGATTTACCGGCTAATCAATCCTTTAAGAACAAAATACGACTAGGAAGATGCTGAACTGAATTGCTCTCAAAATCTCAGCTAACAGCTTAAGTCCTTGATTTTCCATACATCTACGAAATCCACAAATGTCTTTGTGGATTGACCTAAATGCAATCGTTTCAAGGCAGCTTTTGCATTTTGCCATGAAGCGTCATTGGCAACAGGCCTAAACAACTTTGGGCGTGGAGGACCGGTAAGATCAGCCCTTCTCCCCTCCCTTCCCCAGAGAAATGCCTGGAATTTATTTGGAGTATTTCCTTTTACTGCAGTTTCTGTGTTCTTCCCTGCACTGGGACATAGTGCAACTGTGAAAGTACTGGTCTGAAGGTAAGCACAATACCCACAGGAGAAGCCAATCATATGAAATGGGAAATGTGGATTCAAGTGTTCATTTTACATAGTGAAGTTTAAGTTTCACAGCCACACAGCAGTACTATTGGTGCTTAACTGAACTTTGTGGGCAAGCACAGGAGGCATGCAAAGAGCCAGGGCCTAAAATCAGTCTTCCTCTTCATTGTTACTGATTGACTGGTTTAGACTTTTCCCATGTGTGTGCTGGATAATACAAATCTCACTTTTAGTCATTTACGTTTCTATTTAATGTGTCAGAAATTTAAATGTTTAGGAAAGGTTTGCAAACTTTACTCTTGAAACTAGACATCTAGACAGTAACAGAAATGGTCTAGTTCATAACTTTTATGTTCCAATGTACCAAGATTTACACTACTTGGTTCCAGATTGAAATAACTAAATTAGCTTCAACATAATGTAATGAAGTGCTCCTTGTTAAGCATTCCTTAAAATATATGTTTGGCAAATCGAGGGTATTTATTATCACAGAGGGTCACTGCAGTAGGAAATCAGGAAGATACTCATTTAACGCTGCAAGGAGATGAGTTAATTTCACATATATTTCTCCCATAGTTTCATTTATTTCTGTGGTTGTATGGCTTAAAATGCACATGATTTTACTGATAGCATAGAAATGATGGATGTAACTCAGTATTCACAGATGTATATTTTTAGTGGGGTGTAAAACTTACTGTAAGTTCTTTCTCATTGTAATGGTGATCCTGTGTATCTTTGATTTTATGAAACAGTCACAATAGTATTGCATGTAGAATAGTAAGGCAATCAAATCTCAGGTATTTGAATTTTAATATTATTCTCATCCTTTGAATTTCCACAGCACATTTTCCTGAATTCTCATTTGAATATGATAGAACCCACCAGACAAATACTTCTTTGTATCACAAAAATATTGTAAATTTGCATTGCAAAGAACAACTCCAAGAAAGAGAAACATTCAATGTACTACTCAAACTCTATTTAAACTGGTGCAGAGCAAAACTGGGCAAAAAGTGAGATGAAGATTCTTATGAAATAAAAAAAGAATAGTTCACTAAATCCCATGTTAAATGTCTAAACAATAGAGTGTGATACTGTGATATTTTGAAAAGAGTTCTGAGGGTAAGATAGTTAAAGGTGGGGAGTTTTTTGTCAATAATTTTCATGCAGGTCTTGTCTGATGAAAGATTACCTGCGGATTTTCGCCTTTGCCATTTTTATTATTAGTGTGGCAGTTGTGCCCAAAAGCCTCAGCTGAGATCACAACATCACCATGTTAGGAATTATATTAAAATACATTGAAAGGCAGCTCTTCTCCAAAAAATACAAGTCTGAAGTGACTTACTGAGAGTCATACAGCAGGCTAGTAGAAGAGACTGGTTTACAAGCCAGGACTATTGCTTTGCAGACCAGTAGTCTTAGTTGTAAGACACTGCCTCTGTATGCTTAGTAAAATCGATTCAGATACACTGCTAATAAACATACGCAGAGACCATTAACAAGATGCTAAGAACTTCACTTGAGATGTATGTTACATAAGGACAGATGCAGCTTTTTTGCTGGTTCTTCACAAAGGTGAACACAATAGTATCCACACTAAGTATTCCCAACAGAGGCGGTATTTGCACACTGAAGTTGTGTACATTTTGACAGCACTAGGAGAACTGGACGTGCCCTGTTCACCACATGCTTAACTGCTGCAATCCAGCTGCTATCACATGTTACCTCTTCAGTTTTGGTCATCAGGGCTTTCTAGGAGAACACGTCTATGCTATAGTCTCTCCGATTCCTATGTAAATGTAGGTGTATCTACGATGGGTTTAAACTTGCTGGTTTTCAGTTAACGGAAGCAGACTGGTTTGTGCCAACACGGAGTTCAACTTGTGTTGTATTTCTGAGTATTTACATTGTTTCTTAGGGGTTTGTCTTCCAACTATTATGATACCAAGGATACTACTGTGGCAAAGTATTGTGAAAGTACTCAAGTTAACTATATATAAACATGATTTCAATATATATAATCTACAGAACAATCCAGAAATATACAATATTCAGTTTGTCGTTTGAGAAAGCCGAGCAGCTTTCGGCCAAGGCACTTTTCCTGGCTTTTGCATGATGAAATTTTGTGTACAATACTTTGCATATTAAGAACATATTTAAAATTGATAAACTTACAAGAAAAATACGTTTTTGTCCTACAATATTTTCTCTAAATGTTGTAATATAAAGTAAACTATTACATTAAGCTGTTAGGCAAGTGGAAGCTATTTAACTGATAGCCTCCACTGCATGTTCTTTTAATAAATCAGACCACTTGTTAAGACTCCGGAGGACGGCCCACACATCTACACGGGGTGTTTTTGCCTGATGGGTGAGGTTTGGATTATTTGTAATGGAGACAGTTAAAGTACTGCTAGTTATGGTAACGATTCATAAGTTGTGGACGTTTTGCCTACTAGGATTTGTGCAGGGGTCAACAACAATTGCTTCTTTTTATTTCGGTCTAGATTAATGTATGGTAGCTATTGATTTAAAATATTAAACTTCTGCTGTTTATATCAAGCTTTAGGAGTCCAGAATAGAGTTCATTATTCCTTCTCATCTTGAGAAATGAACGGAGCTTTAACTACGAGCAGTATTTAACCGGATTTTCTTCTTGCCTGAGCTGATTTGATCAAAAGTATGAGTAGGTTAAAGAGTAGCAGCATAAATCTTAGTCATAATATTTAAGATTTAAGATGTCTGTAACAGCCTATATTTGACTGCTGTTTAAATGATATCCTACTTATAAAATCAGTTTTCACTATTAAAATTTATACCTATTTTTGACATTTTTATTGTATAATACAGCTAAAGAAAACCCAGCAGCCACATGGAATAATGGGTATTCATTTCACCTGCATCTAGGTAAACTGATGCGAATGGAAGAAACAGCCTGCTGGCAGGTAGACTTTGCATATCTGTTAAAATCAGGTGCATTTCAGAAGTGTGAGGCTAGGTGAACACAAACAGTGGGGTTTTTTGTTTGTCTTATTTTGTTTTCATTTTGTCAAATCTTTCCAAAGGATAATGTGTATGTTTCAAATTGAGATATACCAGGATATGATCTCTTTGGAGGAAAAATGAAAGCATCAATAAGATCTGGGTTTATACCATTAGGGAAGTTTGTTTTCATATTTTTTTAATTTTGGGAGAGGAAGTCAATTGTGCTTCCCCTGTCTTTTCTCTTTTCTACACTGATTTAATAGAGAAAATTGTTCTGATAGAAACATATTGATTGTAGTAAAGAATGGCGTGTTACCTACCCTGCACTTCTCACAATGGTCAATGATATTCAGTGGGTGAAAAATGTGCTCTGGCTGACACTTACCAAACAAAAGCAGAGAGGTCTTTCATTGTTAGAATTTGTTCTCTACGTGGCCTTGAATGTTCATTTCTTTGACATAAAGTAATGGTTCATTCTTTTTCTTTGCAGCTTCTAGATGACTAGGTGCTTAAAATATCAATACTGAATGTCTAAGCAGAGATCCACATATGATTACAGCAGAGCTCCGCTATCAGAGCATTGTATTAGGAGATGTATTGGATATTTTATAGCTATAAAAAAGAGAGGTTTTAATTTGACTTATTAACAATATTTAAAAATGTACTACTTTGACTTTATTGATAATCATTTTTGCACAATATAATTCTTATGAGTCTAGGTTCAACCTAAGCAAAAAAGGAAAAAGTGAATTATTGCTGGAAAAAAATCATCCAAAACTAAGGGTAACTATATGCTGTGAAACATAATTCTCTTTATTCTTTATTTAAGGGTTAAAGCCAAGTGACCTAACCATGACCGGCAAAACACAGACCAGCAATGTCACCAATAAGAATGACCCCAAGTCGATCAACTCCAGAGTCTTCATTGGCAATCTGAACACAGCCATTGTCAAAAAAGGTGACATAGAGGCGATCTTTGCAAAGTACGGAAAAATAGTTGGCTGCTCTGTGCACAAAGGTTATGCGTTTGTACAGTACATGAGTGAGAGACATGCGAGGGCTGCAGTGGCGGGCGAGAATGCCAGGATCATCGCAGGGCAGCCTCTAGGTAAGTACTTGTTTATACTACTCAAGTATTGTCTTCTCTTCACTTTCTATTTAAACTATCATCTGCTGCTGGTATCTTGGGGACTGCTAAGTTTGTTTTAGCATTGTTTTGTGTGTATTACCAGGATATTGGATCTAGCAGAATTTTCAACACTTTAGATGTTACCTAGATATTACAAAATGCCTACTGCTATAAAGCACTGAGTTATTAAACACATTACTTCTGATGGCTTATACTTCCCTATGTAGTTTTGTTGCAGGGCACATGATTGCTCATATGAGGAAAATATAAGTATTTTCTCTTAGCCTCTAGTTAGTAAATTTAATGTGATATAATGAGTCTAGTCTAATAGGTGTGGTTTTCTTGCATTTAATGACTCTAAAATAATATCCATCCCAGTGATGTGTCAGATTTTATATAGAAGCAAAAGAATGAGTTTTGTTAGTCCTTGAAACTGCACCAAACCAAGCAGTAATGCTGTTGTTGGTTTAGAGAAGTTTATTATGAAAAGCTTAGGTTGAAATTATTCCCACGCAATGTAGCAGACGCTGTTCTTCTGAACTCCGTCAAAAATATATCATTTTTGTTTGCCAACACCTTGTTATGAATTCTTGTAGTGAAATCTGGTAGGTTTTTATTGAAATTGTTTCCTCTCAGAGCTGTTTGTTTTTAGATATTCATGATGTCAATGATAAGGTCATCTGGATTACAGTTCTACCTCATTTGTCACAAGTAGAGTAATGATGCAAGATGTTTGGTAGGATCTAAAGATCTTTCACTAGCTCTTCAGAACTATATTGCTCAGTTCCAAATCTGTGTGTGTAGTGGTAATGTCAGGAAAAGGTAAAATGTAGCTAGTGCTTTGGCTGTAACAAATCATAAAGAGTGGACATGGCTTATTCACATTCAGTTTCTCAGGCTGTGGAATTCTATTTTTCTGAATATTTTTAAAAATTGAGATATTTGTGTTAGATATGCTGCTGTTTTGTCAGCAATTTTGGTTGCTGTTGCTCAACAGTAACTTTAAGTTTTACAATCCATGCACTTTGAGCTCAAAAGAAAAATAGATTAAAGAAATCCAATTGCATTATACGGGAGATTATTTTATATATGCTTTATATATGAATGAAAAAAAAAGAACTCAAATGATACAAGCAAGGCAGCAAAGTCAGTCTGTGGGATGGCATTATTAGAAGATGTTTCCTGGAGCTATTGTCTCTGAGCAATAGGCCATGTAATGCCATCAGTGCATTACTTACAGCTCCTTGCACATTGATCTGACCAGATTTTTTTAACTATACTCTCCTAAGGCGATAGTTTTTTTATTGCTATGACTGCAGTTGCTATTTGATTTTAGTTTTTCTTGTGGCATCATAATATGCCAAGTGCGCTGTAAGGACAAGTCCTTGCTGTTCTTAGTCTCATAGTTGCACCAAAAATAGGTAGATTTGGTGTAAAATACGTTAAGGGGTCAATAATTACCTGAATTATTCAGATCTTTTAATAATAGGAATTTTTATTTAGAATTAAGGTTCAGCTATATTATCTTAAAATACTTTGACTCTTCTACAATGTCATGTGATGGCATATTGAATGCAACAATACCTGATACATCAAAGAATACAAAGAAATATGCAAGGTAAAATTGTATTTAGGTATTCAAAACCTCATTTACTCTTTCTCTATATGAAATACAGTTGTCATCAGTATTGTTTGACATAGAAAATGGTTTCGTAGGAGTGATACTTCTCATTAGACAAATTGTTTCCAAGAATAGACATTATCAGTTGTCTCAGAATAATGATGAAATGAATGGAGAGTGACAGTGGAGAACTTTATATATGACCAGAAAAGCGAAGCCAATATGCAGAATTTGCTGGGCATTATGACCTAGAAGAGTAATTTATGTACAGATTGTGTGTTTGAAGGGAACAAAGTAACAGGAAGACACATTACTGTGAGACTACTTGATAATTCATAGATGAAAAAAGCCTTAGCTCTTGATTCTGAGAGTCGTGCATTCTGAGATAAACAGAATACCTGATTTTACATCAACAGTCAAGATGTGGAAAGGGGACAACAAAAAACTGGGATATACAGGAATAAAACTGATCAGCACAGCTGAATTTTCTTGTAAATGGAATTGAGTATATCTATAATGTAATGAGGGCTGTGTGGTAGTCGGTGGTAGAAAGCTGTTTGAACAAATATTTGAAAAAGATTATCCCATAGTATATGAATGATACTACTGTAAAAGTACTCAGTACCTCAGAAAAGAAGGAAAAATTTGAACTGCATTACTGAGCTACATCAGTTTTCTATGTTTTTGGGAGATCGACTATTTATCTTAGCTTCTGTCTTCTATGGATTCCTCCTGTTTGAAATTATGATGTGGTTTACAGCAGCTGAAGCAGTATTAGTCAGAAACTGTTTGAAGGTATGTAAATGAAACTAAAAATAGAATATTTAAATTCCTAGAACTATGTATGGAATTATACAACGCACTGAAGATACTGCCGCAATACTCATCCGGTTGTAGGCTATGGAGTTGCATTAATAGTGTGTTATGGTACTGTCTAAATATTTCTTCTGAGATGGGGTCCCAAAGTGTTAAGATCCACAAATCCATAATAAGATATTTTATTTAACAAATTCCTTACAGATATAAAGCATTGATAGTGGACTAAGTTTTGGCAGCTGTCCTGTGGGTCATTATAATATGGCTGTTGATCTCCTATCTTAAGCTCCTAACAAGATATTTTGTGGCCCGTGATATCTAACGGCACTAGTCATGGACATTGTAACTTCAGGGAAGTGGATTTTATATGCTGTGTTATTCTCTTCAAGTTTTCCATTCCATAAAGTGCAAACTGCTCTAAACAGTTTTAGGGAAGAGACTTTGAAGGAAAACAGAAGAAATATGGTTCTTTGGTATGATCATGAAATTCAGTGCAGTTTCTTGAAGCAACATTATATATTAATGGGAATACCAAGTTTTCCTGCAGCATACTGCGGGAGGGAAAGGTCAGAACTGGGCATAGGAGTTTGTTTCACAGTGATTAGTTTGTGAACCATTTCAAGCTGGAACCAATAAAATGTTTATACATGACCAAACCACAAGTTATGTTCCCAGTTGTGGGAACATACCCAGACAATCCACCCTGCTGTAGTACTTAAAAACCACTGTTGGCCATTTAATCTTCAGGTTAGGGAACTATTCATCTCCTTGCCATGTAGGGCGGAGAGACAGCATGAGTGGGAATTATACTGAGGAAATACTGTGTCTTTCCTATAAGCTCTACTCAGAGGGATTTCACCCTTTTATGAGAGGAGGACTAGAGATTCGCTTGCTCCAAAGCAAGGAGGAGCATGCTGCACTAAGGATTGAGGAGCATGCTGCACTAAAATTAAAGTTTTTGCTACATCATGAGGATTAGAATTCTTCCCTGAATGTTTTCTCCTGCCCTTGCAGTCCTTCACAAGGGTCACAGAAACACTAGTTAACTGTTGAAAACGTCCTAATGCACATGAATTCTGTAAAGCATAATACTATGTAGAAAGCCTTTAATGTTCCATATCTTCACATTATATATATTCCCATTTACATTATGCATTTGGGAAACAGCTTTCACCTAAAATGCCGGGATAGCTATCATAGCAGCCTCTATATCACAGTATTCCTTTAGTTTGCTTGGTTTCTAGCTCATAGCCTTATAGTTTTATAATTATATGACCTATTTTTTTTTCTCTTTCACATACATTTTTATACCAGCATAGTTCCTTTAACCTCAGAATATGTGTTTAATTTGCACAAGGGAAAGATAAAAGCCACCTAATAGGTACCTAAAGAAAGCAAGTCAAGTGCCACATGGCTAGTACTTTTAGTATCTGCTGTTGTTTTTTTTCATTTAAGACACCATGGAGTTTCATTATTGGATGCTGAGGAAAAAGGAAAATGAAAAAGCTTACAATACCAGAGTGTGAAAGACACTGTAGTTCTTCAGCTGATGCCCTTTTTAACTGTAAATGAGTTTCACTGCAGCTTCAATCCTGTTTTGTTGCTGTAAGTATTATTCAAGTATGTCTGCCTTTAGGTCTAAATTAGATGCAGTGTCCCAGTACCGAGTGAACGCATACTGACATGTAGCCTAAGGTAAAATGATGGTTACAGATAATTATTTTGGGTGACATACTCTATTGCACACCCTTTTGAGAAGCACAGAAGCCCTAGGGGGGCTTTTTAAATGATGACTACCCAATAGAAAACATCCAAGAAGAAGAGCAGGTAATAAAAAGAACCTTTAGAGAGACTCAACATATACCTTTGTTGTAAATTGAATTGATGTGACAATAGGGCTGTTTTTCCTTTTGTTTCCCTTGCCTCTTTTCAAAATAAATCTTTTACATTTTATATTTCAATGTCTTGCAACACAGATAGACTTAACTATATGTTTGCAGAACCAGTACTTTCCATTCTTCACCTCAATCTGAAATTCTAGAGAACATTAATAACATCATGAATGTTTATATTTAAAAAGAAAAAAAGTGCATCTATTGGTTTAGAGAGTTTATTTGTAAAAAATGCACTTTGATTTGAAAAATGACAAATTTTCTTAGTGAACAAGAAAATGGTACTCTAAGAGAGGAAATTCAAATCTGAATTAGTGATTGTTCAACTTTAACTTTGCCATCAAACTTCAATCAGTAGCATGCAAATACAATAACCATATAAGACATTCATTTGTATGACCATAACTCATGACTTATGGAAACAACCCTGATACTCCACTGACCACCAGCTATCATAATAGCAGGATGTACCTGTAAAGGATATGGGAAAGCAATGCTATATGCTAAAGCATATAGAGCATGAAGAACTAGAAGATTTCTCCTTTAGCTTCTGGCAAGTCTGTAAAGACTTGGATTTTATTGTGAGTCAAAACATGCCAGCCCATAACAAGGACTGTTTGAGAGAAGCCCTGGAAATTGCACCTATACAA